ACCGGTATGACCTAGAATAATCATACAAATTCATACATACGAAATGATACGATCGACGTCCGAATCGTGGTCTCTGAAAAGTTAGACTATACGTTTCAAGCAACAATCGTACGCATGATATTGCACGATCTGATCTGATCCCATGACATCATACATACGAATAGATATGCACCGGTATCGGTATACCGAATACTGAAAATACCAATACCGAAAATACCGACTTTTTTTATTTGGACTTCTTTAGATTTTTTCATCTGAAATGACATAGTTTAGCATCCTGAACACCCAGAAAGAATCAGAGATGCAAAACAAGAGGTTTGTTTGCATTCTAAGGCCAAGGTTTTCCTTTATTTTCTATGTAAGTTGTTCTTACACATGCTCAGAGTACCCAGCTGAATGTTTTTTGTGTTCTGACTGTCCATGACGCTAAACTGTGTCATTTCAGATGAAAAACTCCAAAAGAGTCCAAATCGAAAAAGTCGGTATTTTCGGTATCGGTATATACCGAAGCTCGGTATTTCCGGTATCGGTATTTCGGTATAGATACCGATACCGGTGCATATCTACATACGAAATAGTAAGATTACATAAGATCGTGTCTGATTTTGTACGATCATATTCGATCTTACGTACGAATGATACATGATCCTGACTATTTTTTGCCGGTATCTCGCGCTAGTCTGCTTTTGCTTTTCTTGTGCGTTTTTACCGCATATGAATCTTCTTAATTCGTTTCTTTTTCATGCCTTTTATTCATGTATGAAGACATAAAAGGTTTAGAAAAAGAGTCACTGAGTTGAAAAAACTGTAGAAATATTTCAGTCCATTGGATAAATCACATCAAAAGAAGAAAAAAAATTTAAAAATAAAAATAACAAATTTCTTAAAAAGGAAAATCGACAAACAGAGTATTACAAAAAGAACGTGAATTGAGGTGAAAAAATGTGCCTAATTCGTAAACAAAAATTATGCAGAGCTGAAAAAAGAGTAAGCGAAGTAGTCCTTTCAAGAGTAAGTCTGAAAAAATGTGTTTTAAGACGCATTTTTTAAAGAAAATGGTCCAGCAGGTGATTTTTTCTTTTATATGCTACTATGATCCGTGCAGTTCTGATTCATCCTAACCAAACTTTCGAAAGTACGCTTCCGTGAAGCTTCAAGCGCAATTCTTGTCATGAAACTAACTAAATTCCTATAAACATAGTACTGAACACGCACTGACAGTAAAGGGAAAGGCTTCCTTCTGACTCTCATCTTCTGAATCAGTGCTGCTTTCTTCTGAATTCTGAGTGTCATACTAAAACTGTGTTATTAAATAATCAAAATTCAATTTAAAGAAAGGCCAAAAACAAATAAATGAGCGGAGCATCGCACAACATCGTGAGGGTAGTAAATGGTGCTGCTAAGCAGCTAATGCCCTTGTGCTATGAAATTAAACTGAATTTTCTGCAGCAATATACTTCTAACACTAAACAAGTCATTTGAATTCGAAATTGAGTTTTTTTCAACATTTCAAGTATAAATCGCAGCAAAAGTAAAAAAAATGATCTAAAGAGTACGATTTTGACTCAAATCGTATGACACGATCAACTACGATTTTTACCAAACAATTTTGTACAAATTATACTGCACGATTTCATACGAAATACCTGGCCGACATATAATCATACCCGTCCTAAAATCGTAGTATAAGAAATCATACGATTCTACCCTACGGATCATATCACTTCTTACTTCTCTTACGATCTTAGTACGATTCTTCAACATGGGACTGTCTGATATTAATAGCAACTTTTTCCGATGTACGGTTATGGGGAAAATCCCCCGTGCTGGAAGGGTGATTTTATACAAAAAAACAATAATGTCTTCTTCTTCATCTTTGACACGAATTTTTGTAAAATTCTTCAAAGAATACTTTCTTGATTAGAATTTTTGATGCTTTAGCGCGCCAAGTGAATCATTCAACAATCGGTAGTTTATCTTTTTCACTGATTAATTGTTCATTTTTGGTTTGTCTATCGGAGAGAAAATTGATTAAAACAAAATATAAAACGTCTATTTTATCATTTGTTTCATTATCATATCACATTGGTCGATTCTAAAACAAAAATGTATTACTGAAAAACAATTCTGTTTTCTGTTGCTTAATACCAATTATCTAGCATAAATTTTAAATATAACATTTAGAATTAACATCTGGTGATATCATTTTTAAAATAAGATCGATGTTTTGACTATGTTGGATCTTTTGTTGGTTACCATCGATTATTATGTAAAAAGCTATTGTACTTTATTTTTATATTGACTAGTTTTATTATCAAAAAGACAGAATAAAAGAAAAAGAGAAAAAAAAAAGACGAGAATATTGCCTATATATGCGGTCACATCTGTTGTTGTCAAGAAGAAAATTTACTCAACGAAATACACTTGTTTGTATTGTAAAATGAAATTTATTTTTTAATTAATCTAATCTTAAAGAGTAAAAAAACTGTGACTATTATTCAAATCGAATAAGATATTATACTTGTAAAACATATCATTACTCACTATATTTAATTAATTAGTAACGATAACTGATATCGAAAAGAAAAACATTTTCATATGCTATTGTGTCAAGACGAAGAAAGAAACTGTCATGTTAAATAAATAACTTGAAAAAATTATTAAAATGAAACACATATAAATAGAGGTAACTGATGTGTTATATTGGTCATATTTTTTTTTACATTGAAAACTTATCTGCAGGTTTACATTATGTCTGATAAATAAATTTTTACTTTATAATGAGAATTTTAGTGTCAGTTGTTCATAAAGAATAAAGAAGACATTGATATAGTTTCACTGAATATGTATCCAATTCTTATTTCATAAATTCAATATCCTCTAGACATTACCAGATGGTTGATAAAAATTCTTTTACAATTATCATTTCATAAGACATACAATATAAGTTGAATTAGGATACTTTTTTTATTTGCAAATGATTGCATTTAATCTCTTGTAGAAATAAATTTAAAAAAAAAAAAATGACATTAAAACGAATTTTAATAATAATAATTGTTGGTATTACGTTTATTATTCCCCTTGTTCAATTATCAATTGGTTTTACATATTTAAATAAACCTGTTACACAATGTCCAATAGCCAGAGATATTCCCTTGGTATTGGCATTTGGAGGAATGTTTACGTTACTCTTTCTAGCTACAGCCTATGGTCTTCTCTATACAATATCTGATCGTACCAATTCAAGTGGAAAAACAATTAAAATAATTATGGGTAATCTTAAATGTTTCTAATAATTTTTCTATTCTCTTATAATCATTATTCTCTTCAAAATATCTTTCTTTCATCATAGTTATCCAAGTATTAGAGTTTGATATCATTTTTATTTTAGTTTTTGTCAGCACTGTATTCGGATGTGCATCAGCAATTTTTTTTATTCTAATTCAACTTGCCGTTTATCGAAATTATTCTCAGGTTCAATATACAAATCCCAATTTAAATACTTATTGTTATTCAACATTGTATCGAAATGCATTTGGACTTTTAGTAACTACCTATGTGATGATTGGACTATTTTTCTCAGTAATTATTATCGTTTTAGTTGATTGTATCAGACATCGAAAATATGAATCAACTTGATTATTATCTTTATTTCAACTAGAAATAAATACTTTATGTATTTGAACTAATTTATCAGCAGTTGATATGTTCGATAACTGAATACAGGAAATTTATTATTTCGTTGAATATAATCATCAAAGTTCAACATCGATAATGTAAACAAAAATATTTATATTATCAAATATTCTATTCTCAGTTTTTACTGTAATTTGTGCAATTATTTCCAAAAATATTTTTTCTTTCAATGAAGGAAAAAAAATGAACTCAAATGTATAAATAAAACGAAATGTGTTAAAAAGCTTGAAATGATATAAATCGATTTCGTACGGCAATATATCAATAATGAACGAAGATGATCCTTTACTTTGTTTCAAAAGAAAACGTCGTCTTAAATATGAAAATAAAGTTCAAAGAATTCTAACAAAAGTTCTTTATAGTCAAAATCATTTTAACTTGCTGCTATTACACGATCATCAACAACTTACAGAAATTCTGATTCCAACCTAAAGCGCCATCTGTTACCATCAGTCACAAAAATTTGGCCTCCCAATTGCTTTATTTGAGATTGGCAATATTCTCTCTGCTGTGTTTTGCTTGCACACCAGTACTTGAATAAGTATTGTTATTATCAGCGTAAAGCTTAATGTAAAACATCTCGTTCTCGTTCATGTTTGTACTCGTTTAATCAATAATAGTTAAAGGCTCAATATACCGTGCTCTTCTTAACAGAGGTCTGCAGGACGATTCCAGCCCCACGGGACTTTTTACGGGACCGGGACTAAAAAAGTTTGATCCCGCAGGATTTTTAATGCGACCGGGACCACGTTTTTGTGAAAATAGTTTTGTATGCAGCATAAAAAATTTCTTAGTTTCTGTGCGTGTTTATGTGTAGGTACCAGTTCTGCGAGAAAGAATTCACAGAAAATTCTAAAAGTCTTCAATTAATATCACCCACGCATACTATTCCAGGAGCCACATTACAATGCGCTGACTTTCAAACTATCAGCGCTACTTTGAAAAAATATTTATGGGATCGTGACTAAAAATGAGTTCTTTCCATGGACTTGGGAAAAATTTTGTTTTCTAGAAACCCTATTTGCGCTAAAGATATAAATTTCTCGTTATGCTACCTAAAAAGAGCATGTCTTCAAACCCTTATACCTCAAATAGCAAAAGTCATCCCTGTTTAAAACTAGGCCAATTTTTTCACGCAACACGCCTATTCTCGACGAAATATACCTGTTAAGCGTTAGTAAATGACAGATCCATCATAAAAGTATCAAAGTAAAACGAGCTTACACCAAGAGAGTTTAAAGATCACTGCCAGTAGAGCTATATGGTAGATGAAAATATCTGTGATAGTTTTTTTTGGAAAAAACGTTTTGTAATGAAGTGCTACATGTACCCCAAAAACACTGTCTGAAAGCGAAGACAAATATTATACGCTTATCTTTCAGCAGTAGTCTGCAATAGGAATGTGACCATTCTATTTTAGTTCTTTCTCTCTAACTGCTATAACAATTCTCATCCATAGTACATTTCTCCTCTTCTATTCAAATAAACTGATGAATTATCGAACTACATCAGTTCTTCAAAATATTATAAATTAAAATGATCACACGCGTACTCCTCTAGAATAATAACTATTCTTGTTTTTATCCTTCACGTCTCTCTTATGCTACAGCCAATTTTATTATTTACTATGCTACCCTGAATTATTTTTATACCGGTGTTTATCTCTCAACCGATAATGCTTTAAATCCTAGTAGTAATATGAATGTGCACCAAAGATACTCTTCATTAGAAAATTTGCTCCGCACTAAAACCAAATTAGATAAAAATTGGACGTCAGGTGCAAAATTTCTCAGTAAATCTGACAGCATTCTATCGATCGGTGATAATAATGTTATTATTGTGTACTTTTTACTAGATAGCCTAGTATTTATTATTTTAATAAACACATTAGTTCAAAGCAGTAAGAAGTTTTCTATTATCGTAGAAATATTTTATGTTATATTTTCGATGTACACACGATGTGCACAGGAATTAGTCAATTTTATCTTTGCCCTATACTAGCTGACATTCATTCTTTCTTTTTCTTATATGCAGTACGTTATACCTACACTTCATGACACTCTCACAATGATTCATTGCTAAAAAACTGTAGATTTAAATTTTTAAAAAAGCACATCATCACATAAGATTGTTTTCTTTTCTTTCATATCTTTTACATATTACCTCTCATCTCTTTTCTGCTAGAAACAAATACAATCTCCATCGATCAGTTAAAACTTTTAGATTGAACAAGTATCTGATAACAGTTTCTTTTTATACATACATATCACTATATTGTACAGCATAAATTCAATCAACTGTTCCTTCTAGCAATAGTCTTAATGTCATTTTTTTCTTCACTTGTCATGTGATGTATCTCAAAAGAAAACAGACAAGTTAGCGAACACCTACGATAAAAATATAATAAGATAACAGGGTTCTTTGAAAATATATTGTTCACAACAATGTATAGCTTTTTTACTTTATGTTTCGTAAAATATATCTTCAAAACATTTGTTATCAAACAATATCGATTCCTTCAACATCTTCGACTGCACAATCGTCTATCATTAGTAATGAATAAAGTATTCGTTCCAACATCAGTGACGATGATGATCCATTTTGAAGTGATATTTTCAAACGTTGGAGATATCATATTCATGAGCATAAATAACAATTATTATAGCTCATAAAAGTTTTCTATCACCAATACACAAGGTCAGCAACTACAAACATCTAACTTCATATCAGAAGTTTTATTCTTATCTTATTCTTCTCTAAATCACCTTTTACTAATGCGATGACAAATATCGTTGTAATTTTCGTAGGAGAGAAAAAAAAACTTTTATATTTTTCCTTAGTGTAGGAAAAAGACCAAATTACTACAAATATTTGATCAAACGTCATAAATTTTATGTGAAAATACCAATAAAACATATGATTCACCACAGCAATAAAAATAACCTAGTCTACAGTATTTGAACGAAAAAGTAGAAGACGAAAGGGGTTTTCTAACAGGTTAATGTATATATAACTACTTCTATTTACTAAGACACTTTTTGACAATGACAACGTACAAATTGACATTAGCCATCATTGCTGGTATCATGTTGATAGCGCCACTGATTCAATTATCAATTGGTTTTGCCTTTTTGAAAAAATCACCTGATCAATGTCCAATTGCCACAGATATTCCACTTTTAGTAGCATTTGGAGGATTTGTCCAACTAATATTCCTTCTAGTAGCTTTTACTCTTGTTTATTTGTTGACAAATGGTGAAATCGATGGGAAATCAATCAAATTTATTGGAGGTTTGAATTTTTGTATGTTATCTTTTGTATTCTTTTAAAATCTATGTTTGTCTTATTTAGGTTTTGTCACTATTATATTCGGTTCAATGTCGTTTATTTTCTTTCTATTACTTCAATTAGATGTTTATAAAAATTATTCTAATGTCGAGTATCATAAATGTGACACTGTTAATAATACAAATTTTATCATGAATAACACTACATCAAATGTAACTATGACTTTATGCAATTTAAATGTAAAATATTGTGATCATACCTTATACACCAGCGCGTTTGGCTTTATTATTACTAATTATGTTATGACTATTTTGTTTTTTATCGCTATTATTTTACTAGTAGTTTGTAAAAACACAAAAAAAAAATCAGATATACGCAAAAAATAAAATACATGATAATATCGAGTAATCTTACTACGTTCATGTTATCATCGTTACGCTTTTTGAATAGACAACGATATGCCAGCACCATTATCTAAGAAAATAGAATTTGTGTTAGCTTTGGGAAACAAACATTAATTCTAAAATTATTCTTTTCTAGAATGAAATTGTTCTGATGTTTCAAAATTATTTTTCATGAAAAATGTCATGTTGTTCATTCTCATCTGAAACAGAAGATATCATATTTCTGAATTAAAAACTGAACTCAAATACGATGAAATGATAGTTTAATAATGATTAACAAATATGAGTCAACTATAAATGTGGTGAAATCACAAATCAATGATCAAGTATAAGAGAATACAATATTTGGAGCGAACATGGACTATCTATCGACAAACGGTAATAAGATATTGATGAAGTAATCATTTCAAAAGAACAAAGTTATCTCGAATGCGATATATAATCTCATCTTGACATATCTTCGTAATTGGATAAAGTTGACGAAGACCATTTCGAATAATTAGATTCTTATTATATTCTTCGTATTAATCATTTATCTTTATAACGTTACGAGTAGCAATGCTGTCTTCTACCAACAAAATATTGTTAGTAAAAGTTTTATCAACGAAAAGAATTTCTGTCATATGTATAAACATTTTCTCTCATATACTCCTACCTAGTATAAATACTAGGTAGGAACAAGACAGTGTACTAGAAGATGAATGAGTTGTCAATCTGACACATATATCTTTAATGAATTTATAAAACAAATTCTGACGATATGTTGATGCGTATTTCTAATCACCGAAATGAATAGAAATGAGATAGAATATTATGTCGAACATCTGAATAAAGTTCGTGAAAATATCCGTTTTAGCAGAATAAATTTTCTTGACACAACATTAACTCCGTCTAATATTAATGATGGTATTACGGTTCCATAGCATTGGAAAGAAACTGCCGCCGATTAGTTATTTAATTACAACTCCTCTCATCAAAGTCTATGTAAAGGAGACATTGTTTTAAATATGACCTCTCGCATCGTTCAGACAACAAATGGGAATATATCATGCTTTGAGACCTGACTTCAAAAGTCGCTTATTTTTGATATTTAAAACTCCTTTCCTCAAACTTTAACTTCTATTCTTTGTTGTGAAAACTTTCAGGGTTTCAAGTTTAAAGAGATTTTGGAGGCCCTAATGGCTCTTTTTGCACTTTCTGTTACCTCTTCGATCCCTCTAGAAGCGGTAGGACGAACATGACACGACAGTGGTGTCTTTCGATTTGTAACTGATTGTTTTATCTTCTTTGTTCGTTAGTGCCACCTAGGTATGCGCCAATTCCAGTTAACTGGAACTGTGAGAATTGAAACTGCTGGAAAAAGTTTTGAAATGAATTTAAAATGAATTTTAAACTTTAAGAGGAGCCACACTTTCACAGAGATTGCCAGTGAATTATATGAATCACAAGAGTAGACCCTTTTTGAGTTCCATAATCGATTACTTATAGTTCCTAAAGTTCAGTTTCAAAAGGCGTTTCTATTAAAAGACTTTTGAGTTTTACCTACATTTTCTTCAATAGAACTTAAAATTTCTTTTGAATTTGTTTCGAAATTTCTTGCAACAGCTCCTGACAGTTGTAGTTCTTACAGTTGAAAACTGGAACTGGTGCATACTTAGTGCCAACCTTCATTTAACATATCAACGATAACAGCAATAGTTGTCGAAATAAAGGTGTATTCGTACTAGAGCGAGAATTGCATGCTTCTTGTGGTTTAGTTTAGGAGAAACGACAGGTAGACTAGCGATTACTAATTAAATATTTGTGCGTATATCAAGGAAGAAAGTATTCACACTTTTGCCTCCTGGTAACGCTGACAAGCTTTCTACGTTAGACTTAATCAGTTTTCTCTGCTCTATCTGAAACTAGTGCTAGAAACCTTATGATTGAGTTTTATCAGTTCTTTAAGTCTGATGTAGAAGCTCAGTATTATGCCAGGACCTTTTGATCCTTTCATAAGTTAAGATTTTATTTCATCATCTTTTCAGTTGTTAAATACACTGTTAGTTTTCTGAACAAGATCTGGAACGCTAGTGGAAATTCATATCGAATTTGAAACTAACAAGGCTTAACTCATTCAAAATTTTCTCAGATCGCTTTAGAATATAAAGATATACTTCATTTATTCGTTCAGTGAATTTGATTCTATTCAAGATCAATAGAAAAGATTTTCTTACTTCTGAAGATTTGTACAAAGCCGTTCCATTTTGTCTGTTAATTTTTGAAACATTTTTTAATTCCCATGGTACAATGTAGATGAAACATAGTATATCTGTGTATTCTGAAGTCGTAACCGAATAATTTACCGAATTTTTTTCCGCGTTGGATACAGATACACCATCTGCAGATGGTATTTGTTGATTATTTTCTCATTAGTGAATTCCTCATGTCTTCTCATCGCACGTCTACATTTGTTTGGTTTCAAAAGTTAGTCAAAAAGGGTGTCCGTCTCTCGTCTTTTGAAAAGGCTAATATCTCTAGAATATAGTGATATGTATCGAAACTTTCCTGTATTTTAGGTATGTAGAAGGGGATTTCAAAATTAAACCTTGTGCTCATATCATTATGATAGTTCAAAATCTTACCTTAGAGTTGACGTATGCCTGGTGGTAAGGAAGCAAAAAGAGTTTACCCGCAAGTCTAATCATACAGTTAAAGCATGTAGTGGTAGCACCTTACTGCTGGCTTAATGGATACTTCAATATCTTTTGTAGGAACAAAATAATTATTTAGAGATAAATTCAGAATGACTTTCTACATTAGTTTATGAGTTATTATTGTGGAATTAATTATCTGATTAATCAAACAATATGCCAAGACATTACTCAAACAATCGGTCGCACGTACACAGCTACAAAACGCCGAACAATTTGAATGACTTCTTCATAATACCTTAAACTCTCTGTGAAAAAAACCCAAATCGATAAGATCATATCAGATTAACTGCTTCTCTTTCTTCAAGCAAAAGACTTCGGTCAAGTGCCAGTTCGTTGTATCATTAGTTTTTATCTATTGAATAAAGACCGTGCAACCTTATTATTGAGGAAAGCAAGATGAATTATACTAGATGCACCATTGCAATTCGTGTCTCACTAAACCATTGATGTTGGCTTTTTGAAATAATACTGGCAATTCACTACCTAACAAAAATATATGGATAGCTGTTTTTCACTTGCTGTACGTTTCAGCTTTGATTGTACAAAAATTCCTCACGTATTTTCAACAGACAGTAGGTATAATTATTATAAAAACTTTCTGGATGAATTTCATTTTGGGATGTTAAAAAAGTCACTTTTTATCTATGATCAGAAAAGTTTGAAATGATCTTGAATTAACGCAATAAACATTTTTTTTTAGTCATACAAACTGCTAAATGATTTATTAATTTTGGACAAAGATGGTAAAAGATGCTTAATATAGAAAAAGTGACTTCAGTTTGCTGATCCAAGCAAAAAAATGCCTTTGAGAATATCTAGCTATAAAAATATGCTATCGGATAATATTGACTTGTGATACCTATCTATCCGTACCACTTTTATTGAGTTAGCTAGCTATATCGGGTATGATAGCTAGCGACTAGATATCGTATCCGATATATCGGGTTGACGAAAAACACTGATTAGAATAGCTATTTAGTCGATATATTGATCAATTATCGCCCGATATATTGTGGACAATATTTGATGTCACTGGACTATTTATGAAAATTAATTAGCTATGAAATTAGATATATTGACCAATTATTACCCGATATATTGACTCATGTATTGACAATATGAATGATGCTGTCTATATTGCATCCCGAGAATATATATATTTACAGAAAGCAATATCCCTCAATATATTGCTCTGGTATTGCTTAACATATTGACTTGACATGAATAAATACTTTGTAAATTTGTGAAGTATGTGTTTTAGATGTATAGTACAGTGACTGCAAAACAAAAACGTGGAAAAGAGTAATCCGATCGTCGATATATCTAGTAATGTATCGTGTTAACTAGCTATATCGCCCGATAGTAAATAACCTAATTCGAATAGCTATATCGGGTAGTATATTGAGTTAGCTAGTTAAATCGCCCGGTAGTCAATATTTTTTTTCTGCTAGGGCAACATAGGATAGAAGATCAATGTAGAACAATAAGTTCGTTAATACATGTTTACTGTCGTGTGCAATGTGTATTCAGTCCGTGATTTTACAGAACTCCAGGTCGAAGCTCTACAGCTGTAAACTATAGTATTCGTCGAAATACGACGAAATACATATCCATTCCAGATAAAATACGACGTCGTAATCCTTCTCCACGGTAGACGTCATCGTATTTCGTCATAAACAGCTCGTATTTTGACGTATACTACAGTATCCATCGACATAAACTGTAGTATACTGCCATTTACCGCTGTAGTAATCATTGTCCTGGGACTAATATTAACACAACAAATATTTGTCGATGTGCCAACTGTGAAAACAATTAGTGTCAGTATGTACATATGGAGCGCGTGTGACACTTATTTTATACATGTGTATCAAATACTTTTCTTCTTTTTGCTTATCTTATTCTGTACCTCGCTTTTTTTTTTAATAATAAGCAAAAGGAATGAATAAAAAAAAAATGAATAGTGAGTTAGAGACATTAAAGGTACTTTAGTTTATAATATATGAAAAGTACACAATACTGCATCATTGTGAATAACGTGTAAGCAGAATAATGTCAGCCAGTATAAATACTAGTTCTACGCTAACTAAAAGCTTTTTTGAACCTGGTCAATATCTCTTGTGTATAAAACGTTATGAATTTGGAAATGAATTAATTGATCGCCTTTTAACAATGTTTGATGAACGATCACATTTAGAATTATCATATGTGAATGCATTACGTAACTGGTCGAGAAAATGGCATGCTGAACTTGTCAAACAACCTGAATACGTAACAAATAAAAAAGTATGGGATCAAACAGTTACAACAGGTTGGTAGTTATCTTGAAACTGGCTTTAGTAAAAAAAGATTATTATACGATATATATATATTATATTTAGGTGAACAAATGGCAGATATTCATCAAACGATTATATCAAATCTTAATGATAGTATTGTGCCTAAACTTCGTCAATGGCGTAAAGATAATTATGAAAAATCTCTTATCCATTACAAAAAATCAAAAGAATATGAGAAAGAATTTGAAAATGTTCAAAAACCGTGGAATAAAGTACTAGAACTGGTTCAAGAAAACAAACGTATTTATCACGATGCGTGTAGACTTTTACAAAATGCCAGACAGATTCAACGTAATATGAATTTACAAGTGGAAACTGAAGAACAACAAAAAGCAGTGGCAGATAAACTCGTCAAAGCAACAATTGACGTTGACAATACCAAGACGAGATACGAGAAGATATTAAAAGATTTACAAGAACAACGTCAACGATACGAAGCGAATATGATCGAATGTTTTAATCATACACAAGTATTTGAAAAGAAACGATTAGATTTTTTTAAAGAAGTATTTCAAGAATATCAGCGAACATTGGATAGTTCAAATGCCACAAAGAAAATGTACGACGATTATCAGATGGTATTGAAAGTACATGATGTACAAAATGATTTACAATGGTGGAATGCACAGTATGGTCCGATTGCAAATGTGACCCATTCCTATTATCCAACATTTGAAGAATATCAGGAAAAACAGATACAATGAAATAAACATGAGATTTCCTCTCATGCTAGAAAAATAATTAATTCGTCTTTCGTTGTTGAGAATAATGTCTTTTTTCCCTGTTTTTCGGCTTTTATATCAAGGCTAACTTAAATAAAATGTCAGAACAAAGAGTCAAAAGACAGTAAAGCTTAAATTTTACAGCAAATAATTAGAAATTCAAATATTCCTTGATTTGTTTAGAGAACCAAATACACCTTAAAAAGTTAAATTTATTGTGTACGAAAAATTTTTAAATATGAAATGGTGTACTTGGAAAAGATTGTAAATCATTTCATCAGAAATCAGTTCAACACAATGATTCTATCACTTGTTTTATTAGGTTGAGGAAAAAGTTCGTGCGCCGTGTTAAAATAATGATTTTTTATATATTTTTTTTTGTGTTTTTGATCTGGTTTTGTGGCTATTATGAAAATTTATTGATTTTTGAAACGC